ATCAATGCTGCCCTGCCCACTCATTTCTGACTTTTGACTTCCAGAACTGTAATGGAATACACCAGGGATGCTTTAAGTCACAGTTTGTGATGTTTTGCACCACTAGGAATGAATTCAGGCAGTAATCTCAGAGAGTAAGGTATTCGGAAGCCAAGTGGGGAAGGAGGAACAGGAGGGGCAGGGAGGGGTCAGCCTCAAGGACTGCTGCCAGACCAGGTGAGAGAGGAGGAAAAGTGACTGCCAGGCTTAGGGAAGTGAAGGTTCTAGAGACTCTGACAAGGGCTGTTTCAGTGAGGTGGTGGGTTTCAGAGAGAGTGGGGTGCTCGTTACCTGTCTGTCTGAACAAATGAAGACTACATGTGGACCAGCGATGAGTGTGTGATGTAGTAAATGGAAAAAAGGAAAGGGAAGCTGATAGATGCCGCTCTGGCATCAGTTTGGGTTGTTTCCTGGGAGATTTCCAAAGATGACCATTCTCATGTGACTGGGATTCCTGTTTGCCTTTTTATTCTCTCCACAGAATCCTAATGTCTGACTTTCCTGAGCCTTGAAGTCATTCACTGAATTCTGGGATGACACCAGGGAGCGCTCTGGGCACCTGTGCTTGTTCCAGGGTGGGCACAGAACTACCAGTGCTACCCCTTGGCTCTGGATTTATCATCCAGCTGAGACTCATCTGGCACTGCAGTAGGACAGAGCCTGGCAGGCAGTAAGGGGTGGTGATTGCTGATTGCTCAGGGAAGCCCAGTTGGGAAGCCCTTTTGTGGTGGATCTCAACCCCCTTCAGCTAGTCAACAGGGAGGTAATGCTTTCATCTGAGTTCTCAGTCCAAACTTCCAAACTGGGCTGTGCTAGGGATTTCCCTGGGTCTGAAGTAGAATGGGAATTCCCAGTCTTTTTGCACTTAGATCACCTGTGTCCATTACCTTTTAATTACTCAAACCTTTGAACCTCTGAACAACCACATTCCAAAGCCTGCCAGAAGCATGTGTGGCAAAGGCTGTGGATTTCTCAGCCACTCAGAGATTGAGATGTACCCTGTAAAATTAGGACATGGTGCCCAGGCCCTCAGACACTGGGTTATCCTCAACAGCACTGGCTTGCTTTCCTCCACAGTCTTCTCAAACAGAGGACTTGTTTCTAGCTGTCCTCTAGAGAAGACCTCTCAATGCACAAGGCAGGAGAAACACAAACTATTCTTTGACAATTATCTCCTTGGTAAGCGCATTTAGGGTTAAGAAAGAACCTTGATTGGACTATGATAAAAGTGTTAAGTCTCTCATCAGAAAAAATGTACATTCACTCATTTTTCACATACAATTTTGTCTCTTTTGTCCATCCAAGAAAATGGTCCACAGAACAGCATGATTAAGAAGCCCTGCTCTAAGCTGGGTGTGGTGGTACACACCTGTAATCCCAGCTACTTAGGAGGCAGAGGCAGGAGGATTGTGAGTTTGCTGATAGCCCGGGCAAAGGTACCATGACCCTGTCTCAAAAACAAAATAAAAACAAAATGGCTGGGGCTTTACCTCAAGTGGTAGAGGGCTTGTCTAGCAAGCCTGAGGCCCTGAGTTCAATCTACAGGACCACACACACACACACACACACACACAAAGAAGCCTTCCTTTGTTTGTCTCCCAAAGTATGACATTTCTTATTTTAATAGTTTTATATTTATTTTAAAGTGTATATGAAACCTGTGATTCCACTGGCCTTATCACATAGGGTGAGTAAACAGTAAGATAAAAAAGGGAGTTCATATAAAGGTAGATAAATATTAAATGTAATATAGTTGAAGTGGTATGCCAATTTGGAAAGAAGTGACAGTGACTCATGGATGACCAAAGTCTGAGAAACATAGTATCTATGGCTTTGGAAGGGCGTTTAGACCCAAAGTCCTCTCCCTTCTTTTTTCCTTTCTTCTTTCTTTCTTTCTTTCCTTCCTTTCTTCCCCCCTTCCTTCTCCTCCTTCTCCTCCTCCTTCTTCTTGTTTTTTGAGGCATTCTGGTTGCAACTCGAGAAATGGACTTCATGTTCACAGCTAGAACAATACTGCTCTTACTGTCTGGTGTGAGGAACTTGATCTCATTGGCCCCTGAGGACCAGGGATCATGCCAAGAGGCCTGGGCTTCCCACCTCAGCCATGGCTCTTTCACTTGCTCAGGTGGGCAGCTTAGCCTCCTCAAGTTTAAGGCCATGACCACAGCAGAACCTGTCTCATGCCATTCACCTCTACAGTATGTTAGCTCAAACAAGTTTGACTTGTTTTGTGTATGTCTCTTCATGTGAGTATAATTGTGTGCGTAAGTATGTACATAGAGGGGGTGTGGCAAAGTGGGGGGTGGGGGGGAACAAAGTGGGCTGGACTTTTCCCTGGAGACCCAAGATGCTCCCATGGAAAGACTAAGCTGAGGGAAGAAGGGCCCCTGGGGGGGGTGCCATTCAGAAGTGACCCCCAAACAGAGCTCACTCATGACACATACCTCCTGCTCCTCACACTACAAGAGGGATTCACCCCAACAGGTGTCCCTACCCATGGTCCAGGGGGAGAGGAGGGAGGTGGAGAAGGCAACATGGGGTTGCTAGAACAGCTTAGCTACAGAGAACATAAATGTCTTGCCTCCATCCAGGCTTCTCTCTGAAAGTTTTCCCCACCCCAGATTTCTCCGTTGACTATCTCTCTCCTCCAATTTAAAGAGAACCCATCTAGTTTCTAGATTACCTTTGATAGAAGTTGCCAGACAACTGGTGTGTGACCATGTTTATAGGTGTGCTGTTACTTTTTATTTTTCTTCACATTCTCAGGTTGGGGCCCAGAAATCAAGACATGGATTGCTACATGGAACTCTTGAGGTAACAGGTGAACACAGGGGTAGGAAGCAAATGTAGACTGAGTCTTCCCTCTGCAGCCTTCCTAAGAGACAGGAAATCCTAGTGCTGGGTGGCTGGCAGAGCTGAGAGGTGGAGCCATCCAGGGCAGCTAGCCAGGAGTGATATTCAGAATGGATATCATTGAAAGGAGAGACCACACCCTAAGGTTCCTGTCTACAGGACACATTTACAATGCAGAGCAGGCCCTGTGAGCCATCACAGATCAGGAAGTTGTTAGTATTCTAATCTGTTATTTTTCTGCACTCAGTATATCTTGTATCTATTTCTGACCCTTTGGCAAGACCTAAGACTAAAGATCAATTTCCAAGATCAAGTTGGGCTTCCATGGCAGAATGCCAAGTTTTACCTATGACCTCTCTTTCCCCTTCATTACCGCACTTCCATCAAGCAGCCTTTTACCTGTTCTCCTCATGTCCTTCCATTCCTTCTTGGCATTGCCACCAGGATATTCTTCCAAAGTCGCAAATCTGATCATGTCACACTTCTGGATGAGTCTCCTGACAGCCTATGGTTCCATAAATCAAGCCCCCAATTCTGACCCCAGCTGACCTCTGGTCCCCTCCCATACCCCTCCTCTCCTTGACCATAGCCATTTGGTTTTATTTCTGTCCTTTGACTGTGCCAACCTCTTCCCCTTCAGATTCTTTACACATGCTGTTCCCTCTGTCTGGAATGTTCTTCCCACCACTTTGCCTGGCTAAACACAATTAGCTCTTAATGTAAATGTCACTTTTCAAGAAAGTGCCTCTGAACCCCTCCCCTCAAGATCTATACTCTGATGGCACTATGTAATTAAATAATTATCATGTAATTAATATATTTCCTCTTCCTGTTTGATCCATGAAGACAGGAGCTGTAGCTGTTTTGCTCATTAATGCCTGTCTGTGCCTAGCACACTGCTGTTGACTCATTAAGAGACCAAAAAAGTAACTGAATAAATGATGAAGATTTAGGCAAGATGGCCTGAGAGGAGCCAACCTGGAACAGTGAGTTGCAAGACCTTTCATCCAATGATCTCGAAGCACTTGAAAGCAAGAGCAAGCAGCAGGAAAAAACTGTTGGTCTGCATCTAAACAGGATGACCCCACTGTCACAAGTTTTATAGCCAGGCTTGGAGAATCAGAAGTCAGCTTGCCTTGCTCTGGTCTGAGCCTACTTACAGACCTATGAATAGGGACCGTGTCCCCTGCCTGTGGAGCCTTCGGATGGAGAGGCATTGATTTTGTTGTCAGTGACACTCTCCTTTTCACTAACTAGTTGTTTGACCTTAGACATTCACAGAGCCTCTCTGAGCCTCAGTTTCCACATCCTAAAATGGAGAAAACAAAAACCTACTCCAGGATGAATTGAAGGTATAAATGCCACAAGGAGTTCCTACCACACAGCAGAGTATGGTTTAGCACACAGACTGGGTTCAGAGTGCTAATCTCTCTTCCTTGGCAAAACTGGCTTATGAATTTCATTTCACTTTCCTACACCCACACCACTATGTAGCACAAAAAATAAAGCGTGTGTGTGGGGTGGGGGGCTGAGGAGTTGGAGGATACAGTTCACTCTTACAAGACACTGCCCAGATCCTTCCACCCATCCTGGGAACGCCCGGCCCTGGGAAATCCAAGCTTGGATTCTGTGCCTCTTTGAAGCAGGAGTCGGTTGGGATGGGGAAGGAAGAGGACAGGTAAACCTTGGAGCCTATTTATTTAAACAGAAGGGGACCAGTTGCAAAGAGGGAGGGGCTGATAAGGGAAGAGGAAGGGAGGACCGGGCGTGGGGGTGAGTGGAGGCAGGGGCCAGAAATGGGGATCTAAGTTACCAGCGGGCTGGGGCTGCAGAAGGAACAAGTTGGGAACATGAAGAAGGAATTGAAGGAGGGAGGCGGGTCGAGCCGTAAGGTTAGAAAGGAAGAGCAAGTTCCTGGCGCGCGCGGGGGCGGGGGGGGGGGGGCAGTGACCTGTTACCTGGAGAGGAGGAGGGAAGTGGTGGGAGGGGAGAGCGGAGGCTGTCACCTTGAGTCCTCTTAGAGGACAGGTGACCCCAGCTCGCTATGCGTGGAGTGCTGAAGGGGTGAGGGGTGGGAGGCAGGGATCTGCCCGGTGCCCGGGTGGTACCTGCGGGTCCCCTTGCAAGTCGCCCACGTAGTACTGCTCCAGCCAGCGGCGCGCGTTGTCCGAGTGTCTGTGCGGTGGTCCGTCCAGGTCGGCGGTAATGTCCTGGCCAGCCCGAGCCCTCAGAAGCTGCTCGCCCCCTGGATGGTGCCGCACGAAGTCGGTGAGGTCGTAGAGACGGGCGCCGCGGCGGACCCAGCAGGCACCGGCCGCCAGGCGCCGCTGGACCTCCGCGGGGGAGAAGGAGGCGGCGGGGGGCGGAGCGGGGGCCATGGTGGGCGACTCACTGCAGCTCGCAGCTCGGTGCCGGGCGTCTGCTCGGCGGCCGCCCAGCGCGCCTCTAACATCCCCGGAGCCGCCGCGGCCGCAACGGGCCAGCCGCCACCGCACCTGCTCATTTGCATGCCGCGCTCCCATTGGCCGCTCCGCAGGCTGCGCCCCCTCCCCATTGGCTGGCAGGAGGGCCTGGCACTGTCCGAGTGGGGCGAGCCAGGCACTGAGCGCTGCCCCGCCAGGTGGCTCTGGGCAGGTAGAAGGCGTGATGGCCAGGTGTGTCCGGTCGATGGAGGAAAACGAGTGAAGCGCAAGATTTAAGGCGTCACTCCTCCCCTCCCCCCAAACTCAGCAATCGCACTGTAACATCATGTTTGAATGTAACGTTTTAAAGAATTATATCGTTGCTTAATAGCATTGAATTCTAAATTGAAAAATGGCTGAATGGTAAATTTATATTTATGTGTGTTTTACTATAGTTTTAAATATATGTAATAAAGAATTTTTAAAAATCACATTAGTAAGTCCTAGAAGTGGCTTGGGTCAGGGGAGATGGGCACCTGTTTTTGTAAATAAAATTGTACTGGAACCCAGGTCAGGGGATGGAGGGTAAGGCAGGGTCCTGAAAAGGGCAGGGCTGGATCATGTTTTTATTTCAATTTTGGATATTTTGTTCGTTGTGGATATTTTGATTTCATTTTGAATTGTTAGAATATTGTGTTACATATTTATCAATTGAATTTTTGGGGCATGCTCTAAAAATTTGCATTCAAGGCCAGTACTTCTACTTCCTCCCTGTAGTCACGACCCCCAGGAGAAGAACAGAGAATACCGTCTCCATTATAGAAGGGGAAACAGAGACCTTGACCGGTAAAACCTGTGGACTGAGTGTATTCATCACAGTTTGGCTTAGAACAGGGGAAAACCGAACACAGCTTCAAGTGCCCAGCAATCCAGGGTCCCACTTAAACTCATGATTTGTGATCAAAGACTCCTGGTTCTGAGGTGCACCATCCAGCTGGCCTTTGTTCCTTCGGAGTACTGGTATTTTCAAGGTTGCCTCTGTTTATGACCTGCTAGAGCCAGCGCTGTGTGGGAAGTCTGGCTGAGATACCTCAGGGACCTACCCAGCCACAGAAGCTCCTAAGGTCATGAGCTTCCTTGTCTGTCCCTTCCCTGTCTCACCTTCAGGAAGTAGGTAAGAGTTCCCCAAGTCTCTCGGTCTGCTATGGAATAGCTACCAATCAGGCCTGGACAATTAGATCTGTTGCTTTGCTCAAGCAGTGAATACAGTCATCCTTACCCCACTCTCACACCTACTCTGTTCCAAATATTCTGTATGGGCAAAAGCAACCAAGCACACACTCACAGATGTACTCAGGTATTCCTGTTGACAATATCTGTGGGACAGCCCCGTTTCAATTTCTCAGCATTGTCTTCAACTATCATTGTGTGAAGTCCAATAAGCAAGTTAGCTATCTATTCAGAATTGTGATACATTTCTTGCCCTAGAAATCCCACTTCTAGAAATTTGATCTTACAGATATTTTGTATCAAGACGCATATGTAATACTATTAATTGCAGTATCGTTTGTAAACTAAAGACAGCCCAGTTATCCATCATTAGGGTGGGCTGATTAAATAAACTACGGCAGAGTCAAACAGTGAAACCCCATGGAGCCATTAGAAAGAATGGGGCATGTCTACGCATCCTGATTTGGAACAACCTCTAGGACATTGCCATGGAAAACAAGAACAGTGTGTGTGGCATGCTATCAGTTAGTTTGCTGCTTAAATCATTTAGTCTTTAAAATATTTCATATGCACACAAAAGAGTATATGTAAGTTTTAAAAACAAAAATAGTATCATTAACTTCTTGAATCTGCCTCCCCACCCAAGACTTAGACATTACCAAAAATTCATACCTACGTCTATACTCCAAACTTCCACCTTTCTGCCTTCTGGTTACCAATATGTAACCACTGCCCTCCTAACTTCTGGGTCTTCCTTCCTTCTTTTTTTCTTTTTTTGATGGAACTTGTATTTGAACTCAGGGCTTTATGTTTGCAAAGCAGGTACTCTACTGCTTGAGCTACACCTTCAGTTCATTTTGTTCTGGTTATCTTGGAGATGAGGTCTCACAAACTATTTGCCCTGTGCTGGCCTCCAATCATGATTCTCCCAATCTCAGCCTCCCAAGTAGCTAGGATTATAGGCGTGGGTCACTGGAACGAGCTTTCTCTCTCTCTCTCTCTCTCTCTCTCTCTCTCTCTCTCTCTCTCTCTCTCTCTCTCTCTCCCTGCAGAGGATTGAACCCAGGGCTTTGCACATGCTAGGCAAGTGCTCTAGCACTGACTTACACCCCAGCCCAACTTTGCCTTTTATTTTTAATATTTTAAAATCACATCTGTATGCCTATGGAATATATTACTTAGATCAGTTTGGTTTTGAGTTTTAGGAAAATCATATGATATTGTATTTGTATTAGGTGGCCTTGCATGTTTCACTTAATGTTATTTTAAGATTTACCCATGTGGATGAGTGTCACTGAAGTACACCGGTTTTCATTTCATGTCACAGTCTACTGTATGGGTTTATCCATTTGAGTTGCTTCTTTCTCTTTTTTTTTCCTATGTGAACATTCTTGCACGTCTGAGTAAGAATTTTTATAGCCTTTATATCTAAAAATGCAAATTGTTATATCCTAGGGCACACAAGTATTCAAACTTACAAGATAATATAAATTAACTTCAAAGTACTATTTTTATACCACAAAGAAAGTACTATTTTTACATCTCTGAGAAAGGTATATGAAAACCCCTAATATTGGGAACCAAGCAAAGATGCCTATCCTAAGACTTATGTCAACATTGTGTTAGAGATGCTAGCCAGCGATTTAAGACAAACAAAAGAAAAACAAAGTATTAAGAGAAGAAGTGAAGGAGTACAACTCCACTTGCAGATAACAGGACTGTGTACATTGATAATCTCAAATAATTTACCAAGAAATTAGACCTGACAAGTGAATTTAGTAAGACCGCAGAATCCAAGGTCAAAATTTAAAAAGTCAATAGTATACTAATTAAGACCAGAAAAACAATTGAAAAATATTCTAAAATTTCACTTGTCATAGTGTTAAAATATGTGAGAATAAATTTGACAAAAAAAAACCTAAAACTGAAAACTACAAAAAGGCTGCCAAGAGAAATTTAAAAAAATATCTAAATAAATTAAATTCATGGGCATACCACGTTCCAAGATCATCAACTGTATAACTCAATAGTAAGATCTCAATTCTCCTCCAATTGCTCCAAAGATTGGACACAATCCAATCATAATCTCACTATAAATATATATAATGAACATATTTATATACATGCATATATATATATACAATAATAAACATAAGGTGAACTCAAGGCCTGGTGCTTGCTAGGTAAGTACTCTACCATTTGAGCCAGGCCCCCAGCCCTTTTCTGCTTTAGTTATTTTTCAGATAGAGTCTCTAATTTTTTCCCTGGGCCACAATCCTTCTATGCAACACCTACTGAGTAGCTGAGATTACAGATGCATACCACCACACCCAGCTTGCTTATTGAAATAGGGGGGTCTCAGTAACTTTTTGCCCAGGCTGACTTTGAACCTCGATCCTCCCAATCTCTACCTCACCAGTAACTGGGATTATAGGTGTAGCCCACTGAGCCCAGTTCCCACCATATTTTTAAAGAAATTGATCGTTTGCTTCTGAAATTTGTATGAAAGGGATCTAGAATATCCAAAGCAATCATGAGAAAGAAGAACAAAGTTTCAGGATTTACACTTCCTGATTATAATGCTCAAGACAGTTTGCTATTCATATTTGAACCAACAAATAGCTGAGTATGATGGCACATTCCTGTAATCCTAGCGCTTGGAAGGCTGAGTTAGGAGGATCATGAATTGAAGGCCAGCTTGGGCTGTTAAAAAAAACACAAAAAACAAAAAAGAAACAGCAAATAGACCAATGGAAGAAAATAGAGCAAAAATAGACTCAAGCATTTAAGTTCATTTTGCTCTTTAATTGAAAATATAATTTATATATATAGTAAAATTTGACCTTTTTAGTTATATCAGTTTTGATTTTTTTTTTTTTTGAGACAGGGTCTTGCTATTCAGCTCAGGCTGGCTTGAATGAGCTATCCTCCTGTCTCAGCCTCATAAGTGTTAGGATTATAGCCATGCACCACCATGCCTGGTTCTGAGGAATCACTTTCATTGTAAGTCACACAGATTGATAGGTCTGGGTTTGTTTGTGGACTCTCAAATCTGTGCCATTAATCTATTTTGTCTATTCTTGTATTGGTACCATACTCATGCAATCTTTACTGAGCCATAATAAATAATAAAGTCTGATGTAAAAGTTCTTCAACTTTGTTCTTTAAGATTATCATAGCTGTTGTTGGCTCTTTTCATTTCAACGTAAATTTTAGAATGGACTTGTCAATTTACATTTTAAAAGTTTGCTGTGATTGTGATTAGACATACATTGAATACATTGGGGAGAATAGACAACTGTATAATATTGAGACTTCTAATCTATGAACATAGTATACCCTTCCATTTATGTAAAGCTTCTTTAGTCTCAACACACACACACACACACACACACACACACACAGAGGTTTTTCAAGACAGGGTCTCACTATGTAGCCCAGGCTGGCCTCAAACTCAAGATCCTCCTGCCTTAGCCTCCTGAGTGCTGTGATTATAGGTGTGCACCATCATGCCTGACTAGTCTCAATAATTTTTTTCTTTTACAGTGTTGGAGATGAATTGAACCCAGGGCCTCATGTATTCTAAGAAAATGCTCTTCTACTGCCTCAATAACTTAAAAAATTTTTCCATACAGAGGTTTTATATATATATATATATGTATCTTCCATTAGATTTATTTCCAGGCATTTTATGTTTTTGTTACTATTATGTAGTGATGCTTTTCTACCTAAAACTTTTGAAAATA